ACCACCACCACCACTCTCCATTAGATTCTATACATGGGAAATTTATTTTATCGTTTAACCCCCCTCCCCCCCAGGTATGGCATCTAATGTATTGTAAGTTCATCTTAAATTCATCCCCCTCCAATTCTATATTGGGGAAAGTAGCAGCAGTGGGGGGCAGATGGCAGGGGGAGACAAGTGATCTGTAACCTGGCACTTCCCCGCCACACTTGTCTGTTCTGCCACTTGCCCCTCCCCCATGCCTGGGCCCCCTGCTGCCTGCACCCTCTGACTCTCCTCACTGCTTACCATGTATTGCTGTTCTGGCCCCGTTCCAGCCTGGGGCATGGAACACAGGGTAGCTCCGGCCCCAGCCCAGCCACACAATGCAGTTTGGGGCGGGCGGGATCATCTCGTCTTGGATGCAAGTAAATACGGTATAGCTTGCTGTACCTAAAAAGTGTTACTTTAGAGAATGGATGTTTTAGCAATTTAACTTTTTTTCTTTTTCATTGAATAAAAATAGAGACAAAGAAGAGATTTTCCCTACTGCTTCACATATAGCTGTGTCCAATTAATTAATTAAATACAATTAAATACAATTTTGAGGTGGTTGGATTTTTACCTTCTGCCAAAATCTCAAGGTATAGTCCTTGGGTGCAGTCTAGTGGCAGAGCTACATAAATTCAGACATGTGCCTGAAACCTTTGCTAGAATGAAGCCACAATTAGTTTTTTGATGGGTGATGGTCATTTTGATAAAAAGTGGCATTTGTGATACTACATCATAGGTGTGGAAATATTATTCCACCAGGACACTCAGATACTATAGTAATTAGATACAAGAATGCCTAGATAAGTTGAATTAAGATACACTAGCTAATGCCCTGCTTTTAATACTTATTTTAAAATGAATTCATTGTTGGAGCAAACTGTTGATATTAGCTTAGTGCTACCTGCATTGCATTCTGGTCTATGCATATAGGAATCCATTCCCAAATATTTTGAACGTACAATTCACTGAGGGTGCTGTTTTAAGGTATAATGTTGCAAAAAAACAGCATTTTTCTGTGGTCCATTAATTTCCAGTAGCTTAAGATACAGTACACAGAAACTTTATGCTGATTTTATTTGCCCTGTATTCTGCAGATAGATTTAGTTGCACTTTGACAACAAGAAATCTCTGTGGTACACCATTTGAAAACTAAGGAATGAAAAGTATACCCAGATTGTTCAGAGGCACATTTAAGCTGTGTGTAGAAAGTAGAGCTATTCTTAGAAGAACAGAATCCGGGAGATGTTTGCACATAACACTGCCTTGACATAGCTGCCATTATTCTCACTTCCTGTCAGGACACAGCCTTGAACCTGGAGCCTTGGCCTGGCCAGCCTGGCATTTTTCTCAGCCTGCAAACCTACAGCTGATATCCCAGACTGGTTGAGGCTGGCCTGAAGCCTCAAGCAGGGCCTAACCTTTCACTCATTCCCTGTTACCAGAATGGCCAGCTGGAGTTAGCTGTCCCTCCATTTCGCACGTATAAACCCCTGAACAGGAATAGAAAGTATCTGGGTGACCAGGCTCTACCTGACTCATAGCCACTCTGCTGCTCACTCCAGCTTGCTCCTTGATTCTGCTCCCAACTTGATCTCCTGGCTTCCTGACTTGGGTCATTTGTAACTGTTTTGTCCTCTATCTCTCTGACATACTTTCAGACTCCACTCTCTGATTGACTTCCCAGCTCCCTGACCTGGTTTGTCCCTAGACTCTGCTCACCCATCCTGACCTGGGTCAGCATCTCCATCCACAAATGGTCCCAGACCCTAATGCCCATGCCTTCATGTGACACCCCCCCTCGTAAAATATCCCTTTTAAAAAGTCCCCAAACATTGAAGATTCACGTTACATGCACACACATAAGTGCGAAGGAGACAACAGCAATGATGTTTTATTGTGAAAAAAATCTTTTACAATGCTTTCCTTTCTTATGCTGTAGGATAACCTTCAGATAGATTTTGCAAGTTGTCAGGACAAATAAGTAATAAAAGCATAACTATTTAAAATAAAGCAGCTAATTAAAAGTCATTTATAAGAGGTGAACTATAAATCCTACCAGCAATGGTGTCTGAAGAGATGAGTAAAACTGACTACGTGTCTGTTGCTAGATGAAAAAGCTTTTCAGAGGTGTTTTATTTGGTAAATTAGAAGACATGAACAGCCTGTAAGCTAAGATTAAATTGAAAAATTTTCCTTAAATGAAGATGTTTAACAAAAAATATGTTTCCTTATTCAGAGGAAGAAGGTATGTCGAAGTCCATTGTTGCAGAATATCTTCAGGAGAAGAAGAAGTATGAAGACATGAGGAAACGGCAGCCAAAGAAAGGGGCTTCTCGTGAAGATCAGGTAACTGTTTAAAGTAGTAAAACTGTAAAACTTAGAAAAATCTGTTTCATGAAAAACTCAGGGCAGGGTTAGGGGTGGAGAATATGGTTTCTCTGTTTCTTTATGTGGCTTTTTCTGGCATGGGCATAGGGAAAGTCTGTAAAGTTTCTAATCACTAATTTTCTTACCAAAGTATTGAGAAAATATTTGTATCCTTCAAGATGCCAGAATCTTCAGGAAAAAAGAGTTATCTGTGTAGAGGTGTTCTTGACTCTGGTGGCAGTGGCCTCCAAAAAACCTCCTTCATGGGCAGTTTTGTAGCATGAAGAAAGAAATTACACATATTTGTTCTGTCTTAGATAGTTTTATTGTACATCCTGTTTTCCTGCAATTTTGGGGAAATAGGAGCAGTTTGGGGTTGGAGAATCTGGGAAGAAACAATACTGGAAGAGCAGCCATCCAGGAGGCTGAGCAGTATAATTTGGAACCTGAATCTAATCAAAGTACCTACCTAGAAAGCCTGAAGGAATGGGGAAAGAAACATCAACTGAAGCTAGGCTACAGGGAGGGGTTAGCCCTCCTGTAGAAATAAAGAGGAACAGTTGGGTCCAGGTCTATACAGTCACAGCCAGCATTGCTAACTTTGCAGTAAGTTTCCATTCTGTTCCCCTGCTTTCACATAATGCACAGCTTCCCGTAACATTTTACCCGTGTGGCAGAAAAAAAAATTCTGCTTCTTTCAGAAGAATAACATTCTTTCCTCCATATTGTATTCATGAAGTGGACAAAAAGTTATTTTTCCTACTAAAAAAATTACTTACAATTGACTTAGCTAAAAAGTTTAATATGGCTTAGTCAAACCAAATATATGAATAGAGCCTAATAAGCAAATACGTGCTTTAAGTTTAAAAGAACAGCAAATAACAAGTCTGGAACATTTAAATTTGTGCGACTGCCTGTGAAGTGGAAAATACCATTAATCTAAGATGGATACAGTGCACATGCATGCACAGGTTTACAAGTGCACAGATATTTGGTTACAAGGATGTATGTGTTCAGCTGCTGAAACTGAAAGAGATTGGAAACTTGAGGCTTAATAACTTCAAAGCAAGGGACGATAGACTTCATAAGTGGAGCAAACTAAATTAGCTCTGAAATAAGGAGTTTATGGAAACTTTGGAAACATCCAAAAACCCATTAACTCTGAATAAAAGAATTAAAGTTCCATCAGCAGAACGGATCAAGGAACTCTAAAGCACTGCATCAGCATTGTCCTAGGCACCACAGGAGGACAAGATAGAACACCAGGAATGTATTTTTATGGGTCACAGCCTTATGTAGTTCATCTGGGAACCATCCAGCATCTAGTCCTTCCTTCATAATCCATTTCATGTGATAAAAAGCTCCCTTGATCCCTATACATGTGCTTCTGCCTAGTCCCAGTACTATTGCTGAAGCCACATTGCCCTCTCTCTATATAAGAGTTGAAGAGATGACGAAGGAAATATGGTCTCTTTGCAGTAGCATAACTAGGGGTGGGCAAGAGGGGCACTCACCCTGGATGTTAAGTTAGAGCCAGAATCACTTCCCTGCCCCTGTTCCCTGCTGGGAACGTAAAAACAGTTTTCAATTGCTATTGGTTTAAGAACATCAGAGCCAGAGTGAGCAGAGCACATGTGGCACTACTTCAGCCGGGACTGTTTTGAGGTTCCCGCTGAGTAACACTGCTGCTGCTTTCAGAACTCGGGTACCTTCCTGCGCACCCCCACTCTCGGAACCCAAGCCACCACACCACACACAACCTGCGTGCACCCTCCCCCTGCTCTTCTGCAGAGTTTGCCCTGGGCACCAACTTGGTTTGTTATACCACTGTCTCTTTGTTGTCCCAGATATTAGAAGCACCAATTCCATTCACCACCTTTTTTAGGAAATGCCATCATCTCTGCCCCTGCCCCCACACACACACTTCCTCAATTCCACAAGGAGGAAAAAGGGGAAGAAACTTTTAATGAGGCCAAGATTTTCGTCTTCTTTTGGCCCAGATAAAGACTCCCCATCTTTAAGGGTAGTAAACTGGGCAGGATTGTGCAGTTTCTCTCCTGTGCAAACTCTAAAATTCTGAAGTTTTCCTCTTCTCTTCCAGTTTCTTAAACAGGAAGTTTGGAAATCAAATGCAAAAAAAAAAAATTCTATTCCTAATGCTATATTAAGTTTTCAAAGCATTCAAAAACTAGGAAACACCCAAAGTTTAAGGTTGCTTCCAGAAGGAAACTTGACTACATTGTACTTTTGTGGTATTTCCTATTTCTGTTTTCACCTTTTTTTACTTTAAAACTTGGTTTAAAGTTTCAAAGTTAAAAACTCTTTTTAAACACCCTTAAAAAAGCCATATAGAAGGGTTTTCATGGATAAAATACCAGATCTAAACCAGTATGATTCTGATACAGTAAATCTGCACAGTTTGTCTATATAACCTGCCTGTTGCCATCAAGAAAGAAGTCTGCATTTATAATTTTTTTGAAAATGGAATTGTCTACAAAGCCAAGATACTAAAGTCTGTGCTTTTAAATCTGTTTCATTCGTTTCTTTATTACAAGAATATTATTTATTTTAAATAGTAATTTTTTTCAATGGTCTATATTAATGATCAAATATTTCACTTTTTAGTATAGCTGAAAGTATCCGCTCCCTTAAGTAAATGTGACAGTAGAACATCAACCAAGTTCATTCCAACTCTATAGTGTTACATTGTAAAATAGTTATAGCTTATGTTAATAGACTAACAGCTATATAGTTTATCTATATTGTATCCACTTTTTTGTAAATTATCATGTGTGTTCTTAAGAGAGGATTATTAATCTGTAGGTTCTTAAAATTCTAGGAAATGACCCCTTGAATGACCCCAATAAAAATCAGTGGTTTAATTTTGTTGCTATTCACTTACCATCCTTTGCTTATGTCATATGCGTCATATGGTCATTTAAAAAAGATGACATGAGAAATGCTGAATGAAAGAGGATTTTTATAGTAGGACTTTCTCACAAATATTTATGAAGAATTTCTTATCAATCTCATTTTACCATTCATCAGACAGTACAATCTAAAGTGTACTTATTAATGTTACAAAACTTCAGTGAAAAAAATGTTTCATTTCAGACACTGGCATTACTGGACCAATTCAAATCAAAGTTAAACCAGGCAATAGCAGAAACTCCTGAATGTGAGGTTTCAGAACCTGAGGTGGAGGATGATGAAGGATGGTAAGTTTTTTTGTTTGTTTGTTTGTTTGTTTGTTTGTTTTACTGCTCTGTATTAGTAATGGATAAACTTGATCAGGAAAAATTAGATCTAGTCCAAGTTTTTGCTTAACTTGTATATAAGAGCTTTTTTCTATAAGCCAGCATTCCATGTACTTACACTGGCAGGTTCTCTGCAAGAAAAGGTCTGACTGCTACCCTCCATTCATCCTTTTTTCTGGAGGAGACAAGATAGCACATTTTCATCACCAGTCATCCCCCACCTGAATGCAAGTACATATGGGTGTGGATGGATCTAGAATGTTGAAGATGAAGCAAAAACAAATATAACTTCACTGGAATGAGTTAAAACCAATCTGCAAGCCTTCATTACTAGGAGCAGCTAACAGACAGCAGAATTGCAGAACAAAGGATAGCTTGATTGGTGGAACATCACAACCATTTAGAGGAAGAGAGGGTCATTAACACCTGTGGAATGAAAAGTTTAGAAGGATCAGGTAGATTTTAATGAGTCATGAAGTCAAGCGACTCCTTCAGCACTGTGTGATTGGAAATGTTGCTGCCACTGCCAGGCAGTTGGCTTTAAACTTTGAGTAGTTCAGGAATCAAAGTGGGGTACAAATACACCATTGCTGCTCCCTCTACCCCTTCCCCCGGCTAGTTGGCCCCTGCTTATGGGTATGGACAAGTGTACATCTGGAGCAGTTCCAAAAGGGTTGTTACACAGGACCATGCAGCACTGATCTCTTACATTCTAACTCTTACATATGCACAAACTTCATCCAAGGTTAAAGCTGCAGCAGTTTTGCTTCAGTTGTATCACTCCAAACTAGTGTGCACACAGCTGTTAGAATTTAACAACTGCGATGAGCTCCCAAGCAGCAGCAGCTCCTCTCCTTTTGAAACCACTCAGAGGCTGCTTACACATGTTTAAAAAAAACCCTCACTTTACCAGCAAAAGCAGCACATTAGTTTGACCCAGCTCAACAGTGTCTGTATATATCAGGGCCTTCAGTGGGGCTTTTTGGTGCTTTTATCTAAAGCTGATTCAATTAGCTATTAAATAAAGTACCAAAAAATCCCTACTAAAGCACCTGACCTGTACAGACATTGAGTGAGCATATATTGGGCTCCGTGCGAGAGTACACCAAGTTTAAAACACAGCAATGCTTTTTTTTTTAACATCTGTAAGTAGCCAGAGTGTGCACTGGTCCATGTCCTATGTTGCAAGAGTCAGTAGCCCTTCAGCTGATATTCTTTGATATTTGTACTTAACCCTATACAAATTTAACTGTGTCCTGAAATTCCAGTACTAATGTGATCTTATTCATTCTGAAGTAGAAAATTCAGAAATCAAAGAACTGCCAATTTTGCAGGTAATGCAGCAGGATGCAACTAAAGTTTGTTAACAATATTTTACTTCCTTTTGTTGCTCTGGAGAACAGAAAGGAGCAGAGGCCATGTGATACTGCTCTGAAGAGTCTGATTTAGCATCGTTGATCAGGGGGGCCATGGATTTTTGGAGGGATTGAGGTGTGGCCTCAAAAAGTGAAACAAGACCTTAAAAAAAGAAAGGAGCATCAATAAACTTGCAAAGTTTTAGGTGGTCTTGTGAAAATGTAAATATTTGATTACTATTACATATTTTCACAGAAAACTATGTTAAAAGTTGGAGCTGAAAAGCCAAATACTAGAATTTAGGAAATGGTAAAAATAAGGTTGCCATTGCATGTTCCCATAATATTTTTTCCACAGGAATCCCACTGCATTCTGTTCATACAATGGATGGCACTCAGTGAGCGGTGACTGATATTTTTCTTTCTCATTGCTCTTATACTTTATTTACTGTATGCTATTCAAACTGCTCAGATAGAATTATGCATTTTTTCCATAGGCTCAGCTGGGTAAGTTACAGCAGTCTAGGCCACTTTACTTCTGAATGGGAGATCTACGTGGTGTTTATTCAATATTAATTCTGTGTTATCATCATATCTTCAGTTGATTTGTCTAATTTTTGAGTGTCTGTGTAGTAATCTGTTAGTTTGTTATTAAAATACGTCAGTTCATATAAACTGTCACAGACCTGTAAGACTGTTACAGGTGTCAGAGGGGAATAAAGAGCAGTGTAAATATTTACTGGAAAACAAGGAGAAAAAGGTGTAGGTATGTTGGGATGTGTATCTCTTGAGATTAACATATCTAATAATGTTTGCCTCTTTGTTTTAAGCATCCTCAGCTATTATCTCCTGCTTTTTATATTATTTCAGGTTGCTATGCCATAGTAACATATGATTCATGTTCAAAAGTAATAGTCTCAATGCTATCTTAACGGTATATTTAACTAAAATTCCCTTAGTAGGGCTGGCTGAATGAAAAATATAGTTCCTGACTAGAAACTGTTTTCAAATTCAGGTGTAAATAAGTGACGGAAAATGTTGAAATAGTTCATTTGTAAAACAAATTCTTTTGATTTTGGAGTTAAATCAACAAAGAGAGTGAGGCATCAGAGAGGATGTGGGCGGGGTAATGTTTACTTTAATCAGGTGTTTAGGACAGTTCCCTGTGAATTGGGAGACCCGATTCAAATCACTTATCTGCATGATTCAGCTCAGGAATTTGGGCCAAGGTCTGTCATTGCTCAGAATAGTGCCCTGAACCACCTAGGTGTAGGACAGTCTGCAACATGTGTTTCTTGGTTTCTGCTGTTGAAGCTATTTCACTTTTTATAAAACACAAAAACATTCTACAGCAAAACCACCTGGCCATTGATCAGTTTTTATGCAAAGTGAAACAGTTTCAATAAGAGATTGAGAGAAACCCACACTATAGTGCCTGATAGCTAAGTGGTTGAAACAGTTTCCTAAGAAATGGGAGAGCTCTGAGTCAGCTAGACAAGATTTGAACCCAGGTCTCCTGTATATCTGGGGCTGTAGAATATAAATAGGATCACTGGCATCTCAATTTCCATACTGTTTTTTTTTTAATCAAGCCCTTTGGTTTGGTTTGGTTTGGTTTGGTTTGGTTTGGTTTATGGGCATTTTAATAAAAGCATTCATTCTGGTTGAAGAGAATGTTTCATTTGACCCAAAACAAATAGCTGGTTGTTGCTGAATGTTTAAAAAAAATACTCATTTCTAAGTGACCAAAAACAATGTTTAAAAATATTTTCAGTTGACCACTAAATGAAAAAAATGATTATTTGTACAGCCATAGTCCTCGGTTATATATTGAGGGTAATAAATGTAAAAAAAGATTGATGGATGAGCATAAATTCATCAAAAATCCTGCCTTGAGTGGAAATCGCCATACAGGAAATAGGTGTTACAATGACCTAAGTGACCCAAGACCTAAATGACCTAAGACCCCATTTTACCCCATGATCAGACTGGTATGTACTATGGGGCTTTTTGCCTTCCTCTGTGGGGGGGGGTGCGGCCCTCTACCCAGGATTTCTTGAATATATATTGACAACATTTCATGGAAGTAGGAAGTTAGCTGCTGTGGTTCCCCTGCTTTATCTGTGGTAGGTTAGGGTGTTAGGTCTGTGTTGTGTCAGGGTTGACAGTAGTCTTGTGTAAAATTTTGATTATAGTTTCTACAGGTTGGTTTGGATAGGGATGATACTGCCTCAGGCAGGGGTGGGAGTAGATGGCCTCTGACTGCGCCTTCCAGTCCTACTTCTCTATGATTCTGTGACTGATTGATTTTTACTCCTGACCCCATCAACAGAAAGTCCCATCTTATCTACGGGGTTCACATCAGGCCTAAAAATCTTAAACCAGTACCTGGTAAGTAGCACCACCCCTAGAAATGATAAAGAAGCTTAGACTAGCTAAAATGTTAAAGGCAGACAGACATTTTAAAGATATGTGCAATGTGCCTTGCTAAATAGTTCTAAATCTTAATTGTTCCTGCATGAATACTGGGAGCTAGACCTGGAAAGTAGTGCCACAAAAAGAACTGTTGTTATAGTAATGAAAAAAACAAAACATAAAAACAGATAAAAAGAAGGATGTTTAAAAATCCGTGTGGAGATCCTGCTTAAAAGAAAGTAAATATTTGGAAAATCTGAATTTTATCTAAAGCACTCCAGTGTGCATTAACTTGAGAGGGCCTGGCCCAAACCCCCATAACATTCATCCAAGAACCACCTTTCCTAGAGAGAGAAGCCAATTGGATTTATTGCATGGATTAGCTGATCAGCACATTAGCTGTTCCATTGTAACTTTTGTCTATCTACTCCAACCCCACAGTACATAAGCTAAATTACAATGATTTAGAACAGGTAATAAATCTTTGGAGTTTAGCTTCCACTTATTGCAGGATACAGTGGAGAAATGAAACTTAAATCACAGATAAGACCTTACTTCCTTTTAAAATGGTATAATTGCCTGTCAATCCACTCAACTGTGGCATACCAGTGAACAAAAACGGTACCTACTGATGCAAGTTAGTTGAACTGTCCCAAATAGCTAAGGAAAATTCCTTGAAAAAGCAGGGTTTTTTTCTCTGATACTTTCAAGGTAGCTGCACTAGTGATCACCAGGCAGCCATTTTCCATTGTAACAGAGACCAGTGTTAATATTTTGTCTAAAATACAAAGCAAAGATGGCGCTAGTGATTCAGAAAAGTAAGGCTGCTGAGATATTGGATCATCACCTTCACACCAATCCCTTCTCTCCCCTTTCCCTCATGTTATATAGTTGTTGGGATTAAGGCCTCATATTATTAAGGGGGGGTGGAAACAGAATCTTTGTGGAGAAAAGCTAGGGCTTGAAAACTTCAACCTACCAGAAAGACTGCCCATTGTGCAACATTCAGGATACTGTAGTAATGTTACAGTAGTTCAGATAACAAGATTCACATACATAGATTAACCCTTAAGTTTTATATTTCTGTTTAGACCTGCTTCCATTTGAGCAAAACCATCATTTTCACCAGTGCAAAAAAAATCATAATATCAAGGTATATTGTGAAAAGCCTTTTAATTCTTTCAAAACAAA